GGTGGACTTCAACTCCCAGAATCCCCCAGCCAGCTTTGCTGGCTGGGGGATTCTGGGAGTTGAAGTCTGCCAGGCTTAAAGTGGCCAAGGTTGGAGACCCCTGCCCTAAAGCAAGGCTGCCATGGTGCTTAGGAATCAGACCAACCAACATACCTCCTGGCAGGCTTATGGGCCCACAACCTTGTTCCTTCTCCATGTTGTTTTCTTCAATGTAGATCCGTTTGATGCAAAGCCTCCATAGCCCAAAGTGAGCTGTCTCACAGGTAGTGTTGTATTCCTCCACCTTAGGATTCAGCACAGCCCAATGATCGGTCACCACTGCTGTGAACATCAAGGCAACCCCTATCAGAATAATAGCGAAGGTCACCCGGACTTTGAGAGCCTTGCCTTCGGTCATGGCTGGAAAGTGTAGGGTAGAAAGAGGGGCTAGGTGCTGCTTTTGCTCCTATGGCAAGGAGTACCGAGAGTTGCTGGAAGCGTCTCCCAAAAGGCTTGTCGTAGCTAAGCATGTTCAAATGCCAGCCCTGTTATCCCAGAGGGGAGGAGGTTGGGGGCTGGGGGAAGACGAGCAGACCACGGAGGGTACACCTGTTGGGATCCATCAGATGACTGGGCTGGCTTGGACTGAGGAACTGCTATTAATGTATAGAAGGGGTGGAGTCACAAGGGCTGTTCAAATTACAGGGTAGATAGGGAATTCCGAACCCAGGCGTGAAGCACAGCTGTGTGCAAGAAATTATCTTTTCACCATGCTCCTTTCTGCCCCAGTTTGCACGTTGCTGTGGTTGTGTGCATACCCTTCAAGAATAGTCATGAATACTATTGGGTTGCTGCAGCAGAACTGGAAATGTCTGACCAACTAAGTCAAATGTTCCATCAAGAAAAGCTGGGTTGTCTTTCTAGACTTAAATGTTGGCTTGTATGTGTGGCTGCATTTGGATACAAGCGGTCTGTTTTGGCTGCTCACACAGAGGGGCCAGAAGCTGGAAAGAACATTAGGAATTCACCAGTTACTGCTTAGTTTTTTTGTCTCATCCCAGTACATTGTGCCCTCAAAAGAAGCTTTTGATTTTTATTACTGAATAATAGTTTGCCGACAGGAACTGGGGATGGAAGAATGAATGGCTTTCACCAACTAGCTTTCATGCCCAAGTGAGGCCTCGAACTCACAACCTCCTAGTTTCTAAATCAGCCCCTAGAATAGTTTTTCCTAAGACCACACATCTTAAAATGGCTAAGGTTGGAAAATATTGACCTAGAGAATGTTGTTATTGTTCTGCTACACACCCACACCCACACCCACACACAAATACAGCAAAACTGCAGAAACTATTCTGCAGAATGGATGGATGCATTAAATGTGCCTGTGAAAATGTTTTTTAGAATTCTGAAAAACAAGGTACAAGATGAACAACATTTTACCAGCACAGTGTGACTTCATGCTGAGTAGGAAGTATGTAAGCCAGATGTTTGCTCTTCAGCCGATCACTGAGGAACAGATGAATGTGAGGAAGACTATTGCACAATTTTTGATCCAGTAAAAATGTATAAAGAAATAAATAGGCTTATTTATATGTTATCTTTATTGCTTTATTAGATAGATGAACAAAACTAACTTAAAACAGTATTTAAAAAAAAGAGAGAGAAAAGAAACAGATGTCCAAAAAAGAGGACACACCCACAAACATGTATACACGCATGTATCTTATAAAAATCTCGAACACACAGGATAACATTAGTCTTTTTTCACATTGGTAGGAAGAAAGGTCAGAGGTGGCTAGTGAACCCATCTTGAAAATTCAAGAGTTTAAATTAGGTCTGGTGTCTGGCAAAATATTTCTAACAGACCACTCTTTAACTACTCTCCATGTGTGGTAAATCCAGAGTTTTCATCAATTGATTAATTCCAGATCTTTTGAAAAATTGTTTACTAATACATTAACATCTTTAAGCCCCTTTTTCTTAGCATCCCATTAAAAATATGTTAAACTACAAAAGGACAACCAATCCACTCCACTCACCTCCATTCCATTCCATTCCACTGTACTTGACGTTCAACTTTTACTCTAATCCTCAATGTTTCAATGCATGGTGAATATGTTGAATTTTGGAACAGTTTGCCCTACATTGAAGATTGCTGAATATAAGGGTAGTGAACCCACAGCAGTTCTTGAAGAAGTTAATTGGGGAGAAAGAGGCATTAATACAAATCATGAAAAGTTCACTCACCTCTGATTTGCCAATGACACCGAGATGATCAATCACAACATCAAAGAAGATGAAAACTGTTTAAACAAGCTCAATGAAGCAAGTAATGCAGTTAGCTTAAAGATCAATAGAAACAAAACTCAATATATGTGCAACTGATTTTGCCAATACCAGAAAATGGAACTTGGAAATGAGCCAATAGAAGATGTGAATTCTTTCATCTAGCTTGGTCGGGAAATCAATATTTCATACAAAATTGACCAAGAAGTATCATGAAGAAGAAAAGTAGCTCAGCTCAACTCAGCTCAGCTTTAATGACATAAAAACATTTCCCCAGGAGATGGGAAACCCCAAGACAAGACCAAACACTTTCCACACCTTGACCTTTGATGCAAAAACCTATGGTTGTGACGTGCGGAACTGACAGCAGTCAGATGTAGAAATGTTTGGAGTCACATCGTGCACAATGGAAAGATAAATGCTAAAAATTTCTCTTAGAAATAGAATTGGAAATGAAGAAATTTAACCATTTCAAAGATGTCATAAAAACAGCATTAAAAATGGAAATACTGTATAAAAGGGCAAGGCACCTTTATATTTATCTGACAATAAGTAGACACAAAAAGTGACAGGATAGTGGATCTATAATTACACAAGTCTGTTTGGAAGACCTTATACAAGATGGAGAAATAGAACCCCCCCTCCCCAAAAGGTCTTAGTTCCAATTGGACAACATAGTGAAAGACTGAATTAAATATAGGGTGTTTGTTGAAGTTGTAAATGTGGAAGCAACTCTGTCCAGATCCATTGTAGTGATAGAAATGGAACGTAAAATGCTGTACACGGCCCTGAAAATCTAAACCTTTTTTTTTGCAAGGAATGTTAGAGAGTCTGTATGATGCAACAAGGAGTATGGCATATCATCAACCAAAGTGGTTGTTTTTTTGCAGTAAAAATTGAACAAATTATTGCAAATTATTGCAAGTTGGCTAGAGGGAATAGGTCAATTCTTGATAGAATGTTTACTGAAGATGAGAAAATGGTTGGAGAAATCTGAAGTTGTAGAATGGTGGTGGAAAGATACTGGATAATAGCTACTCCATCGAAAGAAGCCATAATTATTGTGTGCAGAAGTGTCCTGAATTTAACCATTTTGTTAAAAGGAAGTAAATGTCTGGAGAAAAATAGAAATAGGTTGGATGAACGTGGAAATTGAGTACTTAAAAAGTGTTTATGGTAAAGCAAAAAAAGATAATCAAGAAAGAATGATGAGCAAAAAAATAAGAGTCCCTATGGATTTTACTCCACTAGTCAGTGCTGACTATTGGGGCGGAGTTTATCTCTGTTTCAAGATCAGTGAGCCAATGCTGTCTGAAGACATTTTCACAGTCATGTGGCCATGTTGCAGAAGGCTGTTACCTTCCCACAGAAGTGGTACCTATTTATCTACTTGTGTTTACATGCTCTCAAACTGCTAGGTTGATAGGAGCTGAGGTGAGGATGGGAGGTCGCCCCATCATGTGGCATTCAGGTCTCAAACGTGGGCTGCTGCAATGGTGGGATTCAAAACATTTTTACTACTGGCTCTGTGGGCGTGGCTTGGCATGGCAGGAAAAGGATACTGCAAAATTTCCAGTCAGAGGTGGTATTTGTCGGTTCTCTGAACTACTCAAAATTTCCGCTACCGGTTCTCCAGAACTGGACAGAACCTGCTGAATACCACCTCTGGGCTGCTGGCTTTCCAGCTGACAAGCCCAGCATCTTAACTACTCTGACCAATACAAAAGAAGTTTGTTGAACTAATTGGGTCATATTGAGAGCCTGAGTGCAAAATAAAGGAAAGCAAAAAAAAGTAAATGAGTCAAGAAGAAGGGGAAGACTGAGGAAGTCATAGTTGGATGAAATTGATGAGATTCTGCAGAAGAGAGAGGTGAGATCAGGGGTGGGATTCATTTTTTTTTACCAACCGGTTCTGTGGGCGTGGCTTAGTTGGTGGGCATGACTTGGTGGTCATGTGACTGGGTGAACATGCTATTGGCTGGGCGTGGCCAATTCAATATCACTCACATCGAGGCATGCATCTCCTCGCCTGGACTCTCATGACTGTGGGGATGCTGCAACAGTTGTAAGTGTGAAAAATGGTTATAAGTCACTTTTTTCCATGAGTTTGGGTTAAATATCAAAATGAAAACTCCAAGAAGGCAACAGCAGTCATTTGGATTGGGTAAAACTGAATTGATCCTTCCTCTAAAAAAGTGCAGGGTTTTAATAGTTATGTGAGAGAGCTTTTGAGCAGAATTTTAATGGTTAGGTTTTAGGGGTGAGATCAATTCTGTTGTATCAAATATCAATCCAATAAAGATGGCAAGAACTGTCAGGAATCACTGGCATGATTGTTTTCTGGTAATGGAGAATGCGCTGACAACAGTTGCAGCTAGGGGGGAAAAATAGCTAATGCAAATGCCACTTTGCATTGAGTCTAAAACCCAGACGTGCTCCAAGTCTATATTTTAAATGCCAAAACAGACACTGTGTCTGCAACTGTAAAGACACATTAGCATTAGCACAACTGACTTGCAAGCCTCAAGGGATGTAAAAATGGAATGGGGTGTGAAGATCTAGTTTACCAAAGTGACTGATGTCTAGAAAAAAAATTAACAAGAGGTTAATTTGAACAATGTCATCATTAAATCTTTAATAAAGTCTTATTCTCTTCAGGCCTTCCCCCCCACCCCCCTTGCCGGCCCCAGCTTTTATGAAAAAGCTTAGCTGCAGTTGAAACGCCAATACACTGCATGCATGTACACGTGTGCATGCACAAACATACACACACACACATATACAGAGACAGCTAGAGAAAGAGAGAGAGAGAGAGAAAGAGAGAGAGGTCGCTCCAGAGCAGGTTCACTGTGCAGGCGCCCGTGTTGCCCACCCGCCAGCTGATCTTTGGGTAGCTGCCGTGCATGTGCAGGGAGCGGGGTGCATGCAGGAGATGCATGTGCATGCACAGAATCACACAGCACGCCCAGGGGTGGGATTCAATTTTTTTAACAACCGGTTCTGTGGGCATGGCTTAGTTGGTGGTCATGTGACTGAGTGGACGTGGCTTGGTGGTCATGTTATTGGCTGGGCATGGTCAACTCAATATCATCGAGGCACGGATCTCTTCTCCTGGCCTCTCATGACTGTGGGGATGCTGCAACAGTCGTAAGTGTGAAAAGGGGTCATAAGTCACTTTTTTCAGTGTCATTGTAACTTTAAATGGTCACTCCACACAGCAAAGGAGGGAAAAAAAACTCCAGAGAGGTTCCTGCGACAGGAAGTCTAGTCCTGCCAAGAATGTAATAAGGGTTAACGGAGAGGCAGTTTCTGTAAGCAACACCAGAATGTTTCCTTCCTGCCTTCCTTACAGGATTAGGCCAGTAATTTCTTCTAACAACCGGTTCTCTGAACTGCTTAGAATGTTAACAACCGGCTCTAGTGAATAGGTAAGAACTGGTAGAATCCCACCCTTGAGCATGCCTGGGAGGGTTGCACGTGCATGCACAGAGATGCACAGTGCACGTGGGGTCATGCATGCATGCGCAGGGGGCGTGGAGCCCCCACATGCATTTCCTTATTTCTGCTGGCATGCATACGCATGCGTGCACTTTTGGGACATGAGAACAGAAACATTAGCCATCACTGGTCTAGTTGTTTAATATTCTAGGCACATCTTTTATTGGTTCCATATTTATGCTTCAAAAGACAACAGGCTATTCCATCCATTGAAACTTTACTGTCTCATATGGGTTGGGCAAGAATGGCAGATGTTTTCATGGAGGGCCATCTAATTCTAAACAATCATCCCAACTAGCTATAACAAAGGCCATCCTTGCCTTCAGTTTTCACCCCAGTAGATTCATATTCATTCACCTCAAATCCTTTGATTATGATAGAAACTGCAGGAAAACATAGGGCATTGGTTAGGCCAAGCAAAATGTCTCCTTTGCTGAATTACCAGCCCATGGACTTGTAGAAAAACGAACTTATTGTCTGGCTACTCATAAGGCCAAGGGATGTTCACAACGCTGGGAGAAAATACTAGAAGATGAGCAAAGGCCAGCGTAAAATAAACCCACAGAAATAACTTCTTAAAGAAAGTAAACGTGTTTTATGAAATATTGCCTCACAGTTCTCTCAGTACACCATTGCTTTTAGTTCCACTTCATTATCTCAGGGATTTCATGCCATATTTGACCTCACTAACCACCTGTGTCAATCATCATTTTGTTGTACGAGGTGCAATGACAATAAAAATAAAATAAACCTGTATGTTTAGCCGAAACACACTTAGAGGGCTGTAAAGCACTATGAAGCCGCATATAAGTCTAAGTACTATTGCTATATATTCTAATCATGTATATCACTCTGTCAGAAGGAGTTGAATTCCCACCTCTTTTGCTGACTCCAGTGCCATAATAAAGTCTTTGTGCTTCAATCTATGTTATAATTGAACTCTTGGGGGAATCTAATAAATTTATCTGAAAAACCAGTGTAACATCTTTTATCAAGATTCGGGAAAAAGCCCTGCAATTATAAACCAACTCTCAAAAACAGAACCATAGTCTAAATTTCCCAAAGGATACCAGGTAATCTGAATTCTTCCCTGGGCAGGGATAGAGCACAATTCTGTTAATCCTAGGTTATATGTGACAAGAGATGAGGTGTCAGCGGGCAGCCCTGACAGCAGGAACTCTGCTTGTTTATTCTTACGAAGCCAAGGAGCATGTGGCACTCGGACAGGTGCTGCGGCTATAGAGACCAAAATTGCTTTTGACTCACAGCAGAGTCTGAAGTATCCTGTTCCTCCTGGAACACAGGGATGTTGATTTCACAAAGTCCCTATGGCACATAGTTAGCATTTGGCAGCAACCAGAGGTGGCATTCAGCAGGTTCTGACCAGTTCTTGAGAACCAGTAGCAGAAATTTTCAGTACTTCAGAGAACTAGCAAATCCCACCACTGACTGGCCTCACCCCCATCTAGCTGATCAGCTGGGTCTTATTTTGTTGCCCTGCGCAAGAGAATGGAGCTGGAAAGCAGGTTAGTGGGGTGGGTAGGGAATGGGGATTTTGCAGTAACCTTCCCCTGCCACGCCCACCAAGCCACGCCCACCAAGCCACGCCCACCAAGCCACACCCACAGAACTGGTAATAACATTTTTTGAATCCCACCACTGGCAGGGTAAAAATACGGAGAAAGGAGGAAATACAGGTCGCCTTCAAGTTACGACCACAATAGAGCCCCAAATTTAAGTTGCTAAGTGAAACATTTGTTCAGTGAATTTTGCTCCATTTTAGGACCTTTCTTGCCATGGTTCTTAACTGAATCACTGCAGCGCTTACATTAGTAACACAGTTAACACAGTTATTAAGTGACTCGGACTTCTCCATTGGCTTCGCTTGCAGGAGGTCACACGGCCCCAGGGCACTGCAACCATCATAAATAGGAGCCAGTCGCCAAGCCTCTGAATTTTGATCCTGGGACCATGAGGATGCTGCAACAGTCGCAAGTGTGAAAAATGGCCATAAATCACCTTTTTTTTCAACGCCGTTGTAACTTTGAATGGTCACTAAATGAACAGTTGCAAATCGAGGACTACCTATATAAACTTGCAGTGGTGTCGGGCACTCTAACGTTCACAAAAACCAATCTGCATTTTATCAAAACTGGCTGAAAGTTAAAGTAAGGCATGAAACAAATATGCTAAAGCCGGACTGGATTATTTTGCTGCCTGAAACGAGGAATCCAATGTTGCCGTTTGATACCCTGTTGAAAAGCTGCACGAGAGCTGAATCTTTCCTTGAAACAGAGGACAGATAACAGATAACAGATAATCAGAGTGGGAAGCGACCTTGTAGGTCATCTAGTCCAACCCCCCGCCCAAGCGGGAGACCCTACACCATTTGTGACAGATGGGAGTCCAATCTCTTCTTGAAGGTCTCAAGTGATGAAGCTCCCACAACTTCTGAGGGCAAAGCTGTTCAATGGGTTGATTGTTCTCACTGTCAGAAAGTTTCTCCTTATTTCCAGGTTAAATCTCTCCTTGTTCAGTTTCCATCCATTATTCCTTGTCTGGCCAACAGGTGCTTTGGAAAATAGCTTGACCCCCTCCCCTCCTCTCTGTGGCAGCCCCTCAAATATTGGAAGACTGTAATCATGTCTCCCCTGGTCCTTCTCTTCACTAGACTAGCCAAGCCCAGCTCCTGCAACCATTCGTTGTATGTTTTACCCAGTCTCCTCATCATCCTGGTTGCTCTTCTCTGTATTTTTTCTAGAGTCTCCACATCTAGTCCAACTCCAGCAGGAGACATCTCAGCAGTGCCATTGGGGCTGGGTCTCCCTCCTTACCCCCCACCCCCCACCCCAAAAGGCAGTACAAATCTGACTGACCAGCACATAGTTCCCTTCCCTCCTCCAGCACCTGTGAAGGGGACAGGCTTGCCAAACACTTTCCATAAATTCTCTAGAGTAATATGGTGCAACATGATCCCTGTATATTTCTGAATCGCCAAGGCGCCATAGATAGTTTTCTGCCCTTCCTACATGCTCACAAAGTGGCTGGGGGAGATATTTGTGAAGAAGGCAGGGCCCAAGCATGACGTCAAAATATCATTTTTTGTTTTGTTTTACATGAACAGCTGCCTTCTCTAGGGTGGAAAATACCAGGTACTGTCCCTGGAGTTTGAAAATCTAAGTTGACAGAAGAGGGCATTGGAGGGAGAGAACCAAGAAAATCAATGGGGGTACTTGGGGGAAAAAAAGTCAGTCCATCTGATTTGCAAATTACTAAGTAAAAAAACTCCATTGAAAATGCACAAGTAATCCTCGATTTAACAACTGTTCGTTTAGTGACCATTCCAAGTTACAATGGCCTTGGGGGAAAAAAAAAAGTGACATAGGAGGAAGTTATTATGAAAATAATGGAATGGGCTGAAATTAGTAAATTGACATTTGAAATTAGAGAACAAAAAGATAAACAATATTATAAGATATGGGATTTATTTTAGCAGTGATTAGACAAAAAAAATATGGAAATGAAATATTTTTGAGAATTTTACAATATAAGGATAATAAAATATAGAGAATATAACATAGAGATGTCTTATGGATTTATGATGATGTAATGAAAGTTATAACATAATTTAACTTAAAATGTTGAATATCTCGCTTAAAATGATGGAATAATAGTTACAGTCAAATAAATGATTAACAATGATAATAACACACACACGCACATACATTAGATGGATAATATGAGAAGTTATATAAACTATAAGTAAGGACTATGGAGATGATGCACAAAAGACTTGTAACCAACCGACACACTGTGTGTAACTGGAAGATGGTTTTATGTTTTGTCTGTGTATGTTCGTTCAAAAAATAAAAAATTCTTTAAAAAAAATAAATGCAATTGTTGGGCACATAAAAAGAAAGAAAAAAAGTGACATGACTGGGTTTTTTTTTCCCCACACTTATGTCTGTTGCATCATCCCTGTGGTCACATGACCAGAATTTGGATGCTTGGCAACTGGCTTCTATTCATGACCCTCGCAGGATCCTGAAAATGTGGGATCCCCTCCTGACAAGCAAAATCAAGGCAAAAGCCAGAAACATTTTACAGCCATGTTACTAACATAACAACTGAATTGGTTTCACTTAACGACTGCGGCAAGAAAGGTCGTAAAGTGGGGGCGAAATTCACTTAACTGTCTCACTTAGCAACAGGAACATTGGGCTCAACTGTGCTCATAAGTTGAGGACTACCCGTATTGTTTGCTCTTCCTCCTTCATATTTCTCTGTCCTTGGGAGGTTTCCCAAGGACTGGACACGGCCCAACATAGAAGGTAATGGCACACAATGCTTTATTGCAGCGCACACACCTTTCCTGTTGCCCTGGGTTAAACTCCACCCTCCTAGGTTTCGCAAATTGATGTATCCAACCCTATTTGATGGTTAGTCCACAGGACAAGTAGAAAGCTTAAAGGCTTGCCATTAACATTTTTATTGAGTTATAAAGTATTACAAAATACAAAGTAAATAATGTCAATAATTTTCTATCTACCTAACTCATTCGGACAGTTTCAAAACTCTCTGTTACCTTGAATGTTGGAAATATGAATTCTCCATATCTTAGTTCCAGGTTACTTATTTAATCAAATATTTCCAAGCAATCCTATATCATGCATCGCAGGGTCAAAAGTAAATTTGGGGGGTTGTTTCAGATAGCAGCCTAACATCATACATTCTGCACAAGCTGTGGCCCTCATACCACTCTTAAAGGTATAGAGTGAATTGCAAAATGATCTAGATGAGATACTCTCAGAACATGAAGTACTATCACTGTCCAGGAAGATTCATAGCTGTTAGTTATCCAAAGTCAGCCAAAATTATTTAGGGCCACCAAACTTACTTTGCTCAGGTAATAAAGACGAATCAGACCATTCTCATGCTACATATTGGCTCCTTCAATGAGGGTGCGCTACAGTTCTATTCAGAATAAATTTCACCTACTATTTGGAGCTGGGAGCTGCCAATCTTTGGGCTTTGAGGGAATCTGCTTCTATTCTTTGGGGCAAATCTTGGCAAGTAGGATACCACAGCACCGATGGCAGGTAGAAATAGGGCTAAGCTTCATCTGTATATTGTATATTGATGATTTCTGAAGGCTTTTGCAGTTTCAAATAGATAAAAAGCAGAAATGGGATGGAATGGGACTTAACCCTAACCCTAAAATGAATGGTAGCTAGTGTGTCTTAGAAGACACTGATGATCTTGGTGAGCCCACAATCTGGTGGGCTTAACAATTTAATGGGGGTGGAAATTAAGCCAATGATCCCATAGGATTTTTCCATCATTCCTCCATGATGTCTTCAGAACATCTAATTTCTAATATTACGAGTTGCAAATTGGAGTTGTAGGACAGAGATATCTGTACTTAGATAGCTCTAGAAGATGACATCTGTTCAGTTTAAGAACTATTAAGAATTGCCAGGCATTGCTGACTTTTCCAGAGTATTCCAAAAGAAACATCGCCATAATAATAATAATTTACAAAAATAAAAACCTTGTATTTACCTCACTAAACATTGAAACCTGAATAACTAGAGTATTACTAACATGATGAAGGAGAAAGATGATACCCTGAAGACTTTTGTAGGGAGTGCCAGAAAGTAAAGCACTTATGGGACAAGGGGAAAGTTTAGCAGAACAAATATAACCAAATGACTCTTAACCAAGGAGTCAAGGGACATGCTGACAAGGAGGCAAAATTATAGGACAACCTAGGACATGGTGAAATTCCTTTATAAAAATAATCTATAGAGAAGGATCGGTCTTGCTAAAAAAAATATCATGCCCTCTTACATAGTTCCTATCCCACATTCTAGACTTTTTTTAAAAATCTCTATTTTAATATAGAGCAATAAATAGAAATATATAGTTGACTTATCCTAACAAGGAAACAACTAGAGAGAATGAGAGTTTTTCATTTTGTGCTCTAAGGCATGTAGGAAGTGCCAACAGATCATTGTTCTTTCTTAACTATGCACATAAAACTTAAGAAAACTCAAGAATGAGGGAGTTTTTTCTTAAGTGTTATTTAGGTAGTTTTGTCCAGATCATTCTTTTAAAAGCATTTTTAAATATGGTAAGCCACCCAGAGTCTTTCTGATTTCAAAATCTAATTGATAAATAAAGAAGCCAGACAGACAGATAGCGGAATGGGACAACTTGGCACTGCCAATTCGCCATGGCCAACTCACCGTGGGACAACTCAACAATTCAATTGAAGTATTTAAAATTGTTTTAAAAGTATTTTAATTTTTGTCATTCACATTTCCTTTTGCCCCTCCTTTTGCTTCCCTTCTTTAATTATTCTATCCCACTGTTTCTTCGATATTAGTGTAACTCTTGTCCTGTGGTGGGTTGTCCAACAGCAAATTGGCTGTGGCAAATAGTCTCACAGTGAGTTGGCTGCACCGAGTTGTTCTAGACCCAGCCACCCAGCCAGCACACAAACAAATAATACTCGCTGTGAGATCAGAAGTGATTAAAATCCTGCTTTTCTTTTCCTCTACTCTAATAGTTATCTGAATCTCTTAGCATTCATGCCCAACTGAATGTCTTAGTGATTATTTGAGAAATCACGTATGTATTGGATCAGGAATAACCAAATGTCTCATTCAGAGACTGATTCAGCCTCATGGGAAACATAGAAGCAAAATGGGCTAAAATTGAACCTTGGAGTGTATAATGGATCATCTTTTGCAAAACTTATGCTCTGTGAGACAGCGGGTTTTGGGGTTGTTTTTGTTTTTTGACAGTAGGACTATCTTAAGTTAGGAATATTCTGACTCAGCATAGCATTCAAGAGTGCTTCAAAGGTTTTAAGTTATAATTGCCATTCCTCTCAGCCAGCAAGGAACAGGGGATGGTCAGTTCGAAGCTTATTCATCTTTTAATGTTTTAGTGTTGTCATGGGATTACTTAGAGAGTGAATATTATAGAGTGAATATTTTTCAAAGAGGAAGGGTAAATCAGAGCAGGATGCTACAAATGGGAACTGGAACATTGACCCAATGATTGCTGTTATAAATCAGCCTACGAACATCATTACAACTCCCAGTTGGTCCTTGTTATTCCAGTCTTCTCCATGGCTCAGAAGTGTGGCATACTCCCTGGGAATTCTGGGAATTGCATTTTCAACTCCCTCTCCGTGGTGGTGACAAACACAATCATGTAAGCCACTTAATCAGCTGCAAATCAACCTGGGATCCCCAGGTCCCCTGGCAGAACTACAGTTTGTCCTTGACTTATGACCACAATGGCTCAATGTTTCCATTGCTAAGTGAGACAGTTGTTAAGTGAGTTTCACCCCATTTGTTAAAAGAAAGGAAAAAGGCTGTATACATCTGCTCCATTTTGTTAAATGGACGTAGGAGTTGGGCAGCTCAGGAAAAACATAAAAGTTGAAATAATTAGGAAGGAGGGAACTAAATCTGTGGTAAAACCAGAATGTAGATGAAGACTGTAAGATTGCAGAATGAATGAGGGAAGCACAGATCTTCACAACCACTAGATGGCAGCCTAGAGATGCAAAAAAATTTAACTCATTATTGCCACCCAGTGGGGAATAGATCAATCAGTCAGTTGGCCAACAGGCTCATAAACAATTAATAGAAATTATGTGGAAAGGGTGGAGCTGGCGTCACAGCAGTACAGCATAAGATCTTTAAGCTCTAAAATCACTGCTGATATCTCCATTGCAGGACGGTCCCAACGGATCTAAACCGTCCCATAGAGACGGTGACAGAGGACGGCACATCTTGTCGATCCCAGGAACATCACAAAGTCCCTGGTAAATCTAGGAGAAGCCCTTTTTTCCCCACAGTGGAGGCAGCCATTAAAGCTGCTGAAGCTGGGACAGCAAGAAAGCTGGAAAGAAAGTGTGTCAGTTTGGTGAGATAATTTTCTACTTATTTTTTTCTGAACACCCTAAAAGACTAAAAATTAAATTTAAAAGTGAAGATAAAAGTGCTTAAGTGGCGAGATTAAGCACAAATTAAACCTGAAAGTTTTTTCTTTCTTTTTATTGGAACTTTGGATTTTGTTAATAACTTTTCAACTTTTCAACTGGACTGGTCTTTCCTTTTTAATTTTAATTTTTTCCTTTCAAAATAACTCTTTGGAAAAGCTTTTTTTTCTCTTGTTTTTTCTTTTTAATAATTTTAGATTTTTTTTTATTTATTATTCCTGGTTTTAATATTAGAGGAGAAGGGAAAGGAAAGGGAAATAAGTAGCGCTGCCACCTGGAGGCTTGGATACATTGTTTTCCTTTCTTTCTTTCTTGTTGATACATTTGGTGTTACATTTCAAGAACTCTGTGCTTTTCATTGAAAAGATAGTGGGAAGAGCATGTAGATTGTTTGCAGGTGCTCTTCTGTGGAACTACTGATAGCTGGAGTCTGGATTTGAAATTGAAGAAAGAAAGATTGAAGTGACCTTGAAAAGAGAACTGGACATTTTGTTTTTTGATTTAGTAAAGAGCCTCAAACATATAGTGGCAGTACTTTGCTTATTGACAGAATTGCATTTTCTCTTTCCTTTTTTTTTCTTTTCCCCCCCCCCCCCCATTTGGATTTTTATATTTGGACTTGAGTCCTTTGATGCAAGAATAAGACTACTTTTTTTCCCCCTCCCTCCTCCCTTTGTTTTACCTTTTTAGCAAGGGGAATATACAGGTTTCTGTCTTTTTAAATTTTTTCCTATTTTTTTTATTTTTCATCCTTTTTCCATTTTATATTTTTTTCTTTTTTTCCCCTTTTTCCTTCATAATTGGAACCAATTGGATTAAGGTATTCAAGTGCCTGAAGATTTTTTCTCTTCCCTTTTTTATTTTTATCTTTTGCTTTTTTTTTTTTTTTTACTGGAGTGGCAATTGGCTGCTCTTGCTTTTTCTTTTAAATTTTTCTATTAAGTACTCTAAGATGAGCAGAAAAATACCAGCCTCAGCTTCTTCAATCCTGACTTCTTCCTCACCATCTGGAGGACAACAATCAATACAGGTGATGTTACAACAAGAGAAGGACAAAGAAGTGACACTGCAGATGATTATGCAAGGAATTCAGAAAGATACGAGTAAAAACAGATAATATTGAAAAGAGAACAGAGAATATTGAGCAAAGAACGGAAAAGACAGATGAAAAAATTGAAAATATTCAACAGATGATGATCCAATATGAGGACAGAATTAAAAAAATTGAAGAACAAGATGTACAGAGATAAGAAGATTGAAGATATGGATACCCGATTGAGTGAAGTGGAAAGAGATAAGGGCAGATCTCTGCAATCACTGGGGTGGGAAATTGATAGATCAGAATTCTATCTTAGATTTCAAAATGTAGAAGAAGAAAAGGGTGAAAACCTTGCTGAAATGATGACAGAAATCCTGGCAGAAACATTAAAGGTAACTAAAGAGAAGATGATGGATGGAATGGATGAGATTTCTTGTGTCTATACAAGATATGCGATGAGAAATAAACTGCCAAGAGAAGTTCATATCAGATTTACTAAGAAAATAATTAAATCGCAAATACTGCAGGCAGCAAGAGAAAAAACACTGAAGTACAAAGATAAAGAAATAGTGGTACTGAAACAGGTACTGAGAAGAGTGAGAGAGATAAGAAGAGAATATTTATTCTTGACCAAAGAGTTACTTAAGAGAGGAATAAATTACAGATGGCTGATACCCGAAGGTCTCATGTTTACCTGGCAGGAACAAAGACACAGAATTGATACAGTTGAAAAAGCTGAGTTATTCTATCTGGAATATCTTAGAGGAAGGGAGGAAGATACAAGAAAAGAAGAGTCATTAATTGAATTTCAAGAGGAATGTACAGCAGTAATTGAAAAAGAAGAAGGAGCCATAGGCGGTATACCCAGAGAACAACGAGAATCAAGATCTACTAGAGCAATAAATCCTTTTTATAAAGTCTAAAATGGATGAAAAAAAACTGATTACAATTAATATAAATGGGCTTAATTCAACTATTAAAAGAAGAAAAGTATTTCATAAGTTAGAGAAATTAAAATTTGATATAATCTGCCTACAATACGTACATATTAAAAAACAACATGATTATATATTGAAACAACAAAAATTAGGGAAATTATTTACAGCATTTACACACTGTAAAAAGAGAGGAGTGGTGTTATACATTAGAGATACAATCCCTGTGGAACAAATATACACAGATGATGATGGAAGGATTTTGATGGTGGAGATAACAAACAATAATCTAAAGACACTTTTAATAGCAATGTATGCCCCAAATAATAATCAAGAAGATTTTTACAGGAAATTACATAAGAAAATAATTGAACTGGACTATGCTAATATCTGTCTGATGGGAGATTTTAATGGAATAATAAATGACAAATTGGATTATAAAACACAAAAAACAGCAAAGAAAACTAGAAAAACATTGCCAAAATCCTTCTTTCGAACGGTAGATGAGATAAACTTAAAAGATGCATGGAGAGAGAGAAATACTGAAAATAAACAATATACCTTTTATTCAAATAGACATGCATCATGGTCTAGAATAGATATGATATGGATGTCAACAGAATTGCTTTCTAACATACAAGACATTGAAATAGAAGCAAGCACCTGGGCAGATCACAATCCAATAACACTTGTATGGAAAGGACAAAAAAGGAGATCTAGATGGACTTTAAATAATACGATATTAAAGGAAAAAGACTTTAAACAGAAAATTGAGAGAGAATTGACTTTTTTCTTTAAAGAAAATGCAAAAGAGGATACATCATTACAGAACCTCTGGGACATGATGAAGGCTTATACAAGAGGTTTGATAATGGACTATACAAGGAAAAGAAACAAAAAACAGAAAATTTTTTGCCCTAGATACCCAAAGATATTGAAATAATGTTAGAAAGTAATATAACAATGATGGAATTAACAAAAGCTTTAAAAAAGCAAAACATTGGGAAAGCACCAGGTCTGGATGGTTTGCCAGTGGAATTTTATAAGACATTCCAGGAAACATTGAATCTTCACTTATTAGAAATTATGAATGAAGTTATGACAAAGAAGAGAATACCCAAAACATGGTCAGAAGCATATATCACACTTGTACCCAAGGAGGACACAGATCCACAGCAAGTTAAAAATTACAGACCTATATAGCTATTAAATTCAGATTATAAAATTTTTGCTTCAATTCTGGCAGAAAGACTGAAAAACAATTAAACAGACTTAAACAATTTTATTCATTCTGATCAAAATGGATTTCTGCCAAAGAGACAGATTAAAGATAATATGAGAATAATTTTAGATACAATGGAATACTATGAGGCACATCCTGAAAAACAAATGGCTCTGATGTTTATAGATGCACAAAAAGCCTTTGATAATGTGAATTGGTATTTTATGCTGTTAAAATTGGACCAAATGGGCTTTGGTAAAAATTTACTCAAGCCATAGAAATGATATATCATAAACAAACTGCACAGGTTATGATAAATGGAGAGTTAACAGACTTTATAGATGTAAGAAAAGGGACCAGACAAGGCTGTCCACTGTCGCCTCTGTTGTTTGTGTTAACACTGGAAGTGCTGAATAGGAACATCAGAGAAGAAAAAGAAATAAAAGGAATGAAAATTTAAAAAGAAGTGTATAAATTACAAGCTTTTGCAGATGACCTGGTATTTATATTAGAGGATCCATTGGAGTCTGCACCTAAACTGATAGAAAAGATAGAAGAATATGGGAAAGTAGCAGGTTTGAAAATAAATAAAGATAAAACAAAGATTTTAGCAAAGAACATGTTAGTAAGATGAAAGAAAAAAATTAGAGGAAGTTTTGGGGATCCAGGTCACAAACAAGGTTAAGTATTTAGGGATACATATAACACCAAGACGTAGTACACTTAAGGAGGACAATTATCTCAAACTTAAACAACAGATTGCGACAGACTTGATAAAATGGGAAAATTTACAATTATTACTGATCGGGAGAATATCTACAATTAAGATGAATGTATTGCCTAGAATCTTATACCTATTCCAGACAATTCCAATCAGATTAGGGAAAGAATTTTTTGAAGATTTAAACAAAATAGTGCTAAAATACATTTGGCAGGGAAGAAAGCGAGAATAAAACTTACACTGCTACAAGACGCAAGAATAAGAGGAGGATTTGCTTTGCCCAATTGGGAATTATACTACCAAGTGACGAGTCTGATGTGGGTAAAGGAGGAATGCCAGACTTCTGAATTTAGAAGGACATGACCTGCTGTTAGGGTGGCATGCCTTCCTCTGGTATAAGGGAACTAAAACCCAGGCGTATTTTAGAAGAAGGAGAAGCATTCGAGAAGCATTGTTTCTAAACTGGGAGAAGATAAAAAAGCAATATTATTTAAAATTTCCGCTATGGTTATTTACTATTGAAGCTTTTTCCTATCCAATAATATATAAAAAGGAACAAACAGTTAGATATGGTGAGAGATTGAATGAAAAGGGTGAACTTAAATCTATGCAAGCGTGGAAGAACAAGGTGTAAAAATGAATTGGTTTTCATATTTGCAAATACAATCTAGATTTGATAAAGATGTTAAAACAGAAGGTATCTATGATAAGTTGACTGATTTAGATAAAATTTTGACAGGTACTGATGAAAAAGTAACAAAAAAACTTTATGGACATTTGCTAGAGTTTAAATTACAGGAAGAACAAGTAAAAGAAACAATGATTGCATGGGGGGAAAATTTCAGATATGGGATTGATTTAGATAAATGGCAAAAATTGTGGTCTCAAAATTATAAAATGACAATGTCAACTGCATGTAAAGAAAATTTGTATTAGATGTTTTACAGGTGGCATTTACCCCCGACGAAAATTGCAAGGATGTTCAAGAATAAATCGGATAAATGTTGGAAATGTCATCAGATACCTGGTTCATATTACCACATGTGGTGGACATGCTCAGATGCAAAAAGATATTGGACTATAATCCACACATGGTTAGAAAAAATGACAAAACAACACATAGACTTTAAACCTGAGATATTTTTATTGGGAATTATACCAGAAATATATTATAAAGAATTGAAATATTTGATTGTAAATATTTTAACAGCAGCTAGAATTGTATTTGCTAAGAATTGGAAAAATGAAAAAATACCTATGCAGAAGGAAATTATTAAGAAAATCATGGACTGTGCCGAAATGAGTAAATTGACATTTGAAATTAGAGAACAAGAGGATAAACAATTTTATATGATATGGGATTTATTTTATCAATGGTTAGATAAAAAGACATGGTAAAGAAATAGATTAGTAAGCCTTACAATAAAAGTTAATAGACTGATAAAGAATACAATATAAAATATATAACCATTGGATGAATGTATAAGATTAAATCATGATGAAAATTAGAATATCTCGTATAAAATGATGGAAAAATAGTTAAATGAATGTTTAATAATTGATATTATATAAGCACATGCTAGACCGATAAGGTGAGAATTTATATAACTTGTGAGTAATGGTAAAAAAAGGATAGTACAAAAGATTGTAACCAACTGACACACTGTATGTATATAATTGAAAGAGGTTTTTATGTTTTTATGTTTTGTTCGTATGTTTGTTGTAAAAAATAAAAACTTTGGGAAAAAAAAGAAATTATGTGGCTATCCCTTTGGAGAAAGGGTTGAGCCCAGTAGTGGTATTCAGCCAGTTTGCACCGGATCGGGCGAAAAAGTAGCAAGGATTTGGCGTGGGTCGCTGAACCGGTAGTAAGTTCTGGCTGGCCAAGCTCCCAACCCAGTTGCCTGGTCACCGTTTGTCCCGCCTGCCCGATGCTCACTCACCCCACCCACCTGACGCTCGCCCCTTAAGGTATTTCTTTCTTTTTTCCCCTCCCGACAATCAGCTGTTCATATGATCAGCTGTGCTGGGATTCTCCTTGCTGAGGCCCAGGAAGGCAAAAAAATGGAAGGAGGGGCTCATCCCCCCTCCATTTTTTGCTTTCCTGATCCCCAGAGGAGCTGATACTGTGCTGCTGTAATTTAACAGGTGTGTAATGTTCAAGTGTAATGGGAGAAAAGATGGAAGTGAACTTTGGTGGAAACCCCTATCAGATTTAAATGAACAAGAGGAAACAAAGGTGTAATAAACCTACATTAAGAAGTACCTTGGTATCTATCCTCTTCTATGACAGAATTTGGAAAAGTATTCACGAAAGCAGGCAAATGGAATTTCAGGTGTGGCCAGTTTGATCCTGGCCAGAAACCAGGACACCGTGACTTCTAGTCCCACCTTAGCCATGAAAGCCAGCTGGGTGACTTTGGATCGGTCATGCTCTCTCAGCCCAGTTCACTCACAGGGTAATTGTTGCGGGGAAAACAGGAGAAGGAAGGAGTATTAGGGATGTTCGCTGCCTTGAGTTATGTATAAAGTGGTACAGTGATAAATAAAAGTCTGATACATAAATAAAAATAAATAAAAGAAATGCAACTGAGACTAATCTTTCCCTTCTGGGTGAGGATAGTCAAGTTCTGTCAATAAGGAATAAAAGAAGAGCTAGGAAAGTAAACTTCATCTTAATATTCTTGATATGACATACTGAAATTAGATTTGTTCCGGACAGTCCTGCTGGCTGGAACAGATCAGATAACGGTGAAGGTTATTATAGAGTAAAAATCAATTTCTTACAGGATCCTGTAAAAACTTGAAAGAGGGAAAACTATTAGCACTGCTGATGGCAAAAAAAACCCGGTATAGCATTATTCAGATTTATGGAATGCCACGTCTTTAGCATTGCTGATTAGATAAACATGCATCCAAACATACATTTTGAATTTTTTTTATTTTTTGATTATACAGAGAAACCAGAAGCACATTTAAAACACAGAGACTTGGAGAAGAGAAGAATGAACCCTTCGCCATAATGCAGATACTGTAGTCCTCAATTTACAATCACAATCGGAGCTGGGACTGTCATCACAAGTCAATGCAGTTGTAAAGCAAGAGGCCACCCCGACTGCACCAATTTATTGCAGCAATCTTAACATTCCCCACTGCAGGATTTAACTAAGATTTGTGGGACATTCTCAATTACTGAATGTACAGAGAAGGAAATTTTGACACTGCCCACTCAGGAGCAATGGCTGGAGAAGTTGACAAATTTTGCTGAAATTGATAAATTGACTTCTTTGATTAGAGAAAAGATATTACTGTAATATTTATTGGTGACTGGAAACCTCTTATGGGCTTTTTGTGTAAAAAAAAAATGAACTTGTGATTTAAGGTTTTGATTATTGGACAGATTATTGAAAGAAGAGCAATATGATATCGCTTTAGAAAAAGAGAGAGAGATTAAATGGATTTGTAATTATAACTGCTGTGAAGAATACCAGAAGCTACTTCTTTATATTTTCTTTTCTATTTTTTTCTATTATTTTCTATTTTACTTTTCTTGCACTTTTTGCCTTTCAAAAGTTTCTTTTTTCCTTCCTTCCTTTCTATTAGTTTGTGTTAGTTTTCATCTTCTTGTTTAAAAGTTTTGAAATAGGAATAAACTTAAACTTAAAATCCACATAATGCAAATGTAATACATTTAAGATGATCAAAGTACATGATGCTCATCC